GGGTAAGCAGCACCACTAATGCAGACAATTTTCAATACATCCCCATACAACACATTTGTAGGTAGATCGATTGTAGGTTCATTCAGATCTAATATAAAAAAAAATGTATACAAATCCAGAGAGTTTAAGTTCAGGTAAACTGTTTATAAGGCCTATTTGATTCATACTAAATTATTTTCTACATTTCCTGCATCATATTTTCCATGTTATGTATATTTCGTTACATAGCTTAGGCCTATAAATTTATTTATATATAGTATTGTTAATAATATTCAAGATTCAATATTTTATTGTGCATTTGGGAATTCTAGCGGAAAGGTTTACTGCGATGTTAAAAATATATATGTATATATATTATGTATGCAATCAAATGTATTGTAATCATTGAGCATTTACCTATAAATCGTTAAGTTCTTAACAAAGCTCATGTTAGCATTACATGTCAACACACATCTACTTGTATCCCCATATTATCTGATGAACTTGTGCTAGAAACTTGTGTTCAGCTCTGGCTGAAACAAAGGTGTCTGCAAGTGTTTAGACACGACAAAAATAAGATTACAAATCAACTTTAAATAAAACTCAATTTCCTAAAAGAAGAAATTCCTATTAAATCAAGAAGACCTACATGTAACAACCAGGCTTCCCTTTCTACATGTCACGGTCCCTGCAATATTCGTCGCCATACAGTAATATTTACCAGCATCCTCTTGCCTCACTTTGACAATGGTATATTCCATAACATCTCCAATCTCACTTTTAATAGTGATGTTATCTTTGTATAGGGTATATGTCGGGATTGGGTCAGCGTATACGTGGCACGTAATGGACAGCTTACTCCCCTCTACAACTATAGTACGATTATTAAAATCGTTTTGTGGGCATTCGACATCTAGTAACAGGAAAGAATACAAAAATAATAAGCCTTAATATTAAAATTGCTAAATAATATAAAACATTGCATTATTACAATCTACCACATTTGTGGTAACAAATCGAAATCCATGGAAATATTGTAATTTATCAATTATCGAAAAATACCGACATTTCATTTGCATAAGGTATATTTTGGATTAGGTCAGTGTTTACTCGGCTCGTAATACGCGCTACGAACTCTTTGTTGTCATTTCAACAACATGCCAATCAGGGGTCACACAAATAGACGCAGAAATTCGTTCATGGATTTAATAATGGATTTGCCAGATAATAACTTAATTAGATAAATACATTAATTATCGTATGTTGTTTCGATGTTTTCAAATATTTAATTGCCTTTTACCGTTTTTCTATGTCGTTCATTGTATGCAGCAAGCAAAAAAAAATTCATTTATCACATGTTTGGTTGATGATAATAAAGCAAAACTGAATATTAAATCTTGTATTTGAACAATGATTTTCGTTATTAGTAATCATCAAAATTCAACTCACAGTGGACGGTAAGTTTCTTTATGTCACTATTCTTGCTCCCTGCTTCATTAAGTGCGTTACAGTAGTAATCACCAGCATCACTCTTTGTTGCATTGCTGATGGAGTAGTAAAGCGTAGTGTCAGTTGTGGACGTTATTGGCATACGTTCTTTAAAAATCGTAAGCATTGCATCAGGGTAAGCAGCGCCACTAGCGCAGACAAATTTCAATACATCCCCATACAACACATATTTAGGTAGATCGACTGTAGGTGCATCCAGATCTAAAATAAAAATGAGAGTTTTATTACAATTTGTTTTGTTTTTTTAACCGTGCATTTTTATTACCGTACCACTTTTCAGGGGTGAATAATTAGAGAACACATAGACATAATCAGCTAATCATAATAGGCTAAATCACAAATAAGTATTCTTGTACAAATAAAATTTACCTTTAAGATGTATGATACATTTGGAAACTCAAACAAACTTCATGCAATCAGATTTACGCACGAAGTTCTAAGATTAATTAGGAAGCCTAACATCTATACAATAATTTAAATGGTCGAGTCCAGACCAAATAAAAGAAGACAACCGTATTATTGCATTATATTAAAGTCTGGAAAACAAATTGTTGATATGTTGTACAACTGATTTTTAAGACACAAAAAGCGTACTTGTTGACGAAAACTCTAGAATTTTTAATGAGATACAGATTTTTAAATATTTAAACTGGGGGAGGGGGTGGGGGCGGGGAGTAACCACCCTTTTCAACCTTTCCCCGGCCGATTTCTAGATATTAAAATCTGTATTTCATTAACCGTTCCAGAGAATTTCATCAAATCAGTTGTACAACATATTATGTTTATTTTCTTCGGAGCCTGACTTTAGGTACTAACTGACCTGTAGCGCATTAAGATAGACAGTTATATGTTTTAAGGTTAGGGTAAAGCCAAGTCGACCAATGAGCGTGTTGGGATCTGCATAATTCGGCGATAGCCACTACGAACAATATTTGCTGGATAAATCAAATTTCAAAGGCATTCACTTAAAATTCAAAGTAAAGACCAACTCTTTAGATCTTAAATGCCGCATGCAATCATGGTCTAACCGCTGCACAGACATATGCAAACTATGTAGGCCTACTAACCAAAAAGAAACAGTAGAACACTTCTGTACAAGATTACATTTTATTAGAGATGTTATATATTCAAATAGTAGGGAGAGTCTTCATGAAAATGGTTTAAGTGTGTATTGGTAAAATTTTAAAAATAGATCATCATCAATAGTGTTTTGCCTGAAGGCAGGTCCCTCAAGAAGTTCTATTTCAGTATTCTCGGTCCTCTGCATCCCTCTTCAACTCGTTGTAACTCTTTCCATTCCGGATATCATCAAGTAACAATTTAAACGCCACCTTATGCTTAATAACAATAATTATGTAAATAGAGAAAATAATATTAGGACACATTTTCGATTTCCATTGTAAAAAATATTTAAATTCATGAACAAGTAGATCTTAGATGCTATCCACATTACCTTTCGAAACAAATTGAACTGTTCAGCGTTGATCATTTGATTCAGTTTTATGGTTTTCATTCTCACAAGGACATACTGTATTTAGGTGTATTACAACTTGTTTTTGCAATGGTTGAATAATTCATTGAATGTTGGACAGCTCCCGGCCATTCGGCTAGGCACTACTAAAATTTGAACTACGTTTTGAAAAATTAGAACTTCATTTTGGGAAACTAGATTTTAGAAATTTACGCCTACGTTTTGATAAATTAGACATTGAATTTTGCAATTACATTTTGATTTTAACATGGACTTTACCTGCGTATGGCACCCAATATTTAAATAGGTGGTAATAAACACAACTTAATTACAATGCAGAATTTAATATTCTTACTTTTCAGTTAACTAAATCCCTCAACTCCAGGGTGTCTCAACGTACACAATGAGTAAAACTATAATGGGTCTATTGCCAATAACAATATACAAAATATAAAAATCGCTAAAAACAAAACGACATGTGTATACACTTGTGGAGAAACTGGTTTCAAAGAAATTATTCTTAAGTAAACAAATTAGACTCTTGTTTGTAAATAATTTATATTGGTTTCGCGCACCCAAGTAATGGACGAATTTCGTTCTTTCGTGTGAATCAATAATCACAGGTATTAATGTAGCTTCCTTTAGGGAATAATCGCGAATAATGGATTCTAGTTGCTGTTATCAGTTGTAGCAGGGTCACCACGCACAGTTTAACAGCATGACTCCTAGATATATATAACATATCTTAAAATACATGTAAAATGGGGTACCTACATAATACATTAACATTAACTCTATCTGAGTTTGCATTTGGTTCATCGTCAAATATGCGGACCTCACATTCATACGATCCAGTATCTTCTCGCGTTGTGTTCGTTATCGCAATGGTTCCGTTTTCATCAATGCTCACCTTTTCTATGTATTTTATAAGCACCTGACTATATCCGTTAAAGTATGTTGCTATAACATAAGTTTCACCGTTAATCAGTTGTGTCCACTTAAAGTATGCATTACATTCTGATGTTGAATTGGACCTGGTATAGTTTACCATTAACAATGTTGTCTGGTATTCAGTAACGTACGTGTCGGGTTTTACATGCCCTGTTACTTCCACTGCAAAAGAACTATTGAGAAGAACTGAAAAAAAATCAATTCATCAATTAGGTCTATTTCCAACTCTACTACATATCAACAAATTAATCAAATGTTAGATTAGAGGCACATATCAGTGATAAACAATGTACAGGGAAAATAAATAAATTCAAACAACTAACTAATCGTAAACTGATATAATATAATTTAAATCGTATCAAGTATAGCCCTAGTCTTCAAGCTATGCTTGAGACGATAATAACACGATGTTCCCGATTTGAGCATTATTTTATTTACGGTGCTACGTCGCATCAAACCTGATGAATTGGATACAGTATTCTATTATTTCAAAAGCTCCTGTACGACCCCAATACCTCCTTGGTACGACCTAGTTTCACGTTAGTTCACATTGTTTTAGCGTTTTAGTCAGTTGTATGGGGTTAGATCTGCCAGCGGGTTAGATTTATATATTGTATATATACGTGTTATCAATGAGGAAGGGCACAGGAGTGCTCGAAATATTAAAAATTTGTTTATTTCTATCATGTCAACGTATGCTTCTTCTTCTTCTTAGAAATATTGTACCACCAACAACGGTGTATTACGTACATTATGTGCATACTGGGTGCAGAATTGTGCAGGCACATCCACGACAATTTTAATTTTGATTTTTGCTTTTTATTTTGTTTTTTGTTTCTTGTTTTTTTTGTTTTTGCTTCTTGTATGTACAGGTTAATGTCGGAGGTTGATGCTTGAGGACCTCAAATTGTTCCGGTTTAGCGATGCGCTGTCCACCAATTGTTGGGGCAGTCGATTCCACAAACGGATTGTGTCAGGGAAGAATGATGTAGCGCTGGTACCAGGGGCGGATTTAGGGGGGGCCGGCCCGGCCCCGGCCCCCCCTTTTGGGAAGTAAAAAAAGGAAAAAAAAAAAAAAAGAGGGAAAAAGAAAAAAATAATAGCCCAGAATGTCTCAAATGTTACGTTCGGGCGTCTAGAACACAAAAATTTCGCGGGGGCATGCCCCCGGACCCCGTATGACAGTGTTGTCTCAATCGGCCCAACTTCCGGCCCCCCCTTCCGGCCCCCCCTTTTGGACATTTCTGGATCCGCCCCTGAAAGATCAAAGGTTGGATCCTCAATGGTCTTAGTTGGGGGCCCATGTTGTTTATCATCTTTGTCGATGATCTCTTGGAGGGAGTACATGGATGACACCTCCAACCCCGAGCGCGTCGGCAGGGATCGGACAAGTAGGCTCCAAAACTGTATTAATGAGACTGTTGATTGGGCAGATAACAACAACAACAACAACATGTCTCCTAATATTAAGAAGTCGAAGGAAATGAACGTTAGTCGGAAAAAGACCAAATCCAAATTTGACCCATTCTAGATTGGAGATTGTTACATAGAATTTTAAACTGCTTGGTGTCATTATTTCCGATAGTTTATCCTTGCAGCACCAGGTTAATTACATAATTAGTAAATGTAATCATAGAATGTACTTAAATCACAGATTAAATCACTTGTTACCTGCAGCCCGTGCTGCTAAATACAATCTAATAAGACCCCGTCAATTTTGTATTCCGAAGGTCAACACAAATCGTTTAAAAACAATTATATATAATTAATTATGGTTTGTTCCAAAATTGGTTTTCTTCGGTGAAAGGTAGGAAGATAAGCCGTGGCTTGCAAGCTGTTTGTCTTGGTGTCGTTTCTAGTTTTTACAAATATTCGAAAATGTAGACAGCACACTACCACAAGAAAACCTATTAAAATAATAATCAAAACACATACAAACCAGTCCCCGACCCCCGCTGGCGCCACCCCTGGCTCATTCAACAATTTTCTTCTCCCCTAAGGGTAACCTCATGTCCAATCAGCTGCCAAGAGACGTACTTTTGCCTGTCCTGCAAAGTCGAACATCACTTCCCCTTCCTTTGTTCTGATGTTTTTTTTTTGTTTTTTTTTTCTGTTTGTCTCTTTAGAAAAAATCTTTTTTTTTTGTTAGACTATAATCATATTTTGTCAGTGATGGTTGGAATAAAGTTTATTCGTATTAGTATCTGTAGGCATAGTTTCACACTTATACAGTACAACAGACCAATGAATATTATAGATTCATAGTGAAATCTGTGGAAAATGTAAAAACTGACCAAATATGCCATCTGTAAAGTCGTTCTTCTTTGCGATGCTTTTTACATTTTCTTCTTTGTGTAGTTCTGAAATATTGACTAAAAGCAGCGCATATAGATTAACAATATGGAGCTTTCAATTAGTGAGACGACGCGACGCTAGAACGGAATCAGTCATGCGTGATTGTCCTACCTGGCGTCCTACGTTCTCTGCATACGTAGATTTGGCCAAATTACGTTCCAGAATCAATTCGACGAGGTGACCTTAACGTTCTCGCATGCGCAAATGACTTGTAGTGACGTCATTACGTTCTACGTCCTACCGTCGTCGTGCAATCGGAAGCTCCCTATTTTTTTTTCGACAAAACTGAGGAAATTGCTGCTGTTCATGGTGAGAGTATTTAATTTGGCATCTGTGGGTATATTTAAACCAAGATAAACTACCAGGTCGGCGACATCCGGACATCCCCCGACATTTTAGAGTGCCCTTTTTATACTAAGGAAAAACGTTTTATACAGATGTTGGTAAATGTTCACTCCACAAGGGCAGTGCTGGAAAAAGTACTGAGGTGATATTCCGAGGCGTATATTTTGGATTTCTAGATTCAGAAAAATACGATACTGTACAGATACATTAATAATTGGCTGTACTTAAGTATTAAAGGTCTTCCACTAAAGTTGTGTTCATTTGAAAATATATCTTCAAATGTAATATTTTTAAACTTTAGGTTGCATTATACAAAAAGTCTCTCAAAAATGGTAGGGTGACAAAACAGAGATGAGCGTTTGGAAATATCAAATAAAACAGTCAGCTTATTGTTCCACACTTTGTTTGGAATATTATACCCGAGTACATACCCTTTTATTTCTGACCTCCCCCTCCTGCAAATGTCTAGAAAAACTTATCAACTTGGCTATTTCATATTCCATGTTAAACATTCAGACAAAATCTGCCGGTAGTGCATTTTATACTACATTTTATAGAACGTCTCAGACTCAATACGTGCTGTTCAATGTCTAGGCCCTACAAAGTTATAACTTAGGATTTGGGAGGTACAGTGCAGCAGTTGAAAGAACCAAACTAACCCTCACTATAATATCATTCGTAAAGATAGACTACGAATATATCAAAGAATACCAACAACACATGTGTGCTGTGTGTCAGTCTGCCGATACAGATGCATCTTATTAAAGCTACTGCTCTTTAGATGTTAAACGGCTCTCGAGTCCACTTTCAACTGTAAGCATCTATAGTGACACTTGTAATACCTATTCTATATACAACTCTTTTTCTAATTAATATAGGACTCATTCAACCTGAATAGCGATAGTCTAACTCTAAATATAATATGCCATCGGTAAGCCTTTTCTTAAATCCTTAAATGTTTAAAAGTTTTCTTCGTATTATTGTTGTGAAGGCTTCCCGAAAAGCCTGAATACAAGCAGCGTATATAATTGGATTTAAAGCTGAATTAAAATAAAATAATATAAATGAACATAACTCAACATCACATGTAAATCGGCCAAAATGCTGTCATCACAATAGCTACTATACTCGGAATTGTGCAACTGCAAAAGCCGCTCAAAATCAAACATGTCATTTTCAAAGCTTTGTAGTTTTGTCTTGGTGTCGTTTCTAGTTTTTACAAATATTCGAAAATGTAGACAGCACACTACCACAAGAAAACCTATTAAAATAATAATCAAAACACATACAAACCATAGTTCCAATAATATTTTTTTTACATAATATTTGAGAAGATACGGCGAAGATCCATGTGGTTATGATAACCTTCTTTAGAAAATTATTGTTGATTTTACTGAGATGAAAGAACGGATGAAAAACAGCCAGATATCTCTCAACGGCTAACAGCACGTGGTGACATAGTGACAGGCACCACAATATATTCATTATAATTAGGTTGTAATGCACAGTACAGATTGAAATAAAACAAAATCTCTGTCAACTTCAAACCAAATGCCTTGCGTAGTCATTTGAACCATCATTGTAATACCATTGCATGCTGTCAGAAGATCCACTAACTGTATTTGTGGTTGTCTGTAATGCACTTTTTGTCAATATTGCGTATATAACTAAAATGTTTCCCATTATAATGAAAATACTTATAAAAATGAAAAGAGTTAAACCAGCACTGGAATACAAGCATTGATCATTTTGCGATGATAAAAAGTGGCCTCTCCGATGTTTAACAATTCACAATATTAACTATCAGAATACAAAAATACTGATCCTGTTTACTTTTGACATACACACATAAAAGTTCTGTTCCATTTCAGTCTACAAATTGGATATTCATTTTAGTAGTAACGGCTATAATTGTTTCAATGTAATCGAAATCGATGTCCATCACACGATTTTGAATTATCCAAGCTTACTGTGACAATTTTTATTTAAACAAAACACACTTTTTGTATTGTATGAGTTATATCAAATACAATACGGTACCATAGTCAATCTCTGTAATGTATTCGAGGCAAACGCAGCAGCACAATAACCGCTTTTTTCCAAGTCCTTATATCAAACTGCATCATACCATAAACCGAAAGGTCCACTGACTAATCTCAGAGGAGATAGTATAATACATACTTCAAGTATCGAAATGCAAGTCATCGTGTCGGGATTCAATATTTCGACATTAATTATGTCATCATCATCGCATCATACCATTGTATGTTAAAAATGTTCTAAGTATCATTGATTCTGAGCAACCGTCTGGCTATCCGGTTCCAGACGATTCCATTTTGAATTGCTTTATCTCATCCGTTCACGTTTTTTATTTTAAAATGAATTACTATTTCTATTCTA